GATAGGATTTCTTCGGGTTGAGTCCTGACGTGGACAAGTTTGTGATGGGTTCGTGTTGACAAAGTGTGCGTCCTAACGTGGACAAAGTTGTGCTCTGGTTGACGAAACAAGCGTCCTAACATGGACAAAGTTTTATTCCTATGACGACAGGATTTCGTCGGGTTGACAAAATTTGAGTCCTAACGTGGACAAGTGTTGTTGAGATTTCTTCGGGTTGATGAAATGTGAGTCCTGACGTGGACAGATTTGTATTTATTCGTGATTTGACGAAATTTGGGGTCCAGATGTGGACAAGGTTACTCCTGTGACGACAAAATCTCTATTCGTGTTGACGGATTTGTTTCTCTTCTTGTGTTGACAAGGTTAGTCCAGTTACGGACGGAGGTGTTTCGCAAAGTTGTTCAGTACCTGTAGCGTTACATAGGTGGTTGAAGTTAAAATCAGAATTATTATCAGACGTTGGATCAGTTGTTGTCGTAACAACCAGATTCAGATAGGGGATGTTGTGCCCCAAGCAGTGGTGCAGTTTATTTCTGCGGTTGGCAAATTTCCGGGTTTCTTGGTATTCAACCATCTCGTACCTCGATTGTTTGAAGGTCGTTCGCTCTTCACCCATTCGGGTCCAAGCCGTTTGAATAGGGGCAGCTGTTGCACCCCAAAATTTGCTCAACCTTTTCTTGCCTGGTTTATATTTCATTACATTTCATTTGCATAGTTACATCATGTACATAATTCTAATCATTTGCATATCATAGCATAACATGCCTCTAACAGGGGATCAAGGGTGTCTATCAAGAGAAGAGCCCAGTAAGAGGTGTTATCCAAGTTTGAGAAGTCACCCAAGCCATCAAGAAATGATTTGAAGTCTTGAGAAGTTTGAGTGCCTACATGTGGGTTTTACTCCTATCTTGAGGAATGTTGAGAATCATCAGTGGGATGAGAGGCATGGGATGTGAATGTTAGGTGTGTATGGATCTCATGTAATTCCTAGAGGGCCCTATTAAAGCTGAGACAAGTCATTAATTCAAGTACAAGAGCCACAGTTGAGGTGCAGTCAACTAGGGTTTCATCTGGGTCAACCCTAGATCAATTGTGCAAATTGGAGAGCATCAAAGCCCACCTTGAGGTCATGGGATTCATGGAGTGGTATGTTGATACATGTGTGGTGTTGTGCCAAGGTTAAGCAAAGAAGAATCAAGAATGTGGGAAGTTGCTAAATTAGGGTTTCAGTGTAAAATCCCCTATTTAGTGCCTAACTTCAAAGCCATATAAGTTAAAATACAAGTTTCAAATGGATCTTTGGCCAACATGAAACTTGTAGATATTCTCTATACCTTTAATTTGAGTACTAGAAGTCCTCAAGGGGATTTATAGAACTCAAGTTATGGTTCTTGCAAATTACAGGTCATCAGAGGACACTGAAATTTATCTATGAAAGTCACTTGACTTCCAAGCAACTTTTTCCCTTCAAGGAGTTTTCAAATGGATTCTTGACCAACCTAAGAGTTGTAGATCTTGATCTTAGATTTCCATAGAGTACTATAAGTCCTCAAGGGGATTTATAGAACTCAAGTTATGATCTTGGCAATCCAAGGGTATTTTGGGTATTGGTGATTATCGGTCATTCTCAAGCATGGGTTCAAATCTCCAACTTGTACTTGTCAAATGGATTTTTGCTCAACATGAAAGTTGCTTAAAATTGTATTTTAAGTGCATCCAAGTGGTCATTTGGTATTGGTTTGGCTTATAGCAAAAAGTCACTTAAAATGGCCTAAAAAAGGGAATATTTTAAATGGATTAAGGAGAGAAAATTGACTTTTTGAGTTAGAGGACCAAAACATGGCATATGAGTATATTTTTTGAATGGAAATCACATTCTAAGAACAATGGAATTATTAGAATTTTCATTTGAGACTTGGTTCTTGGTGCTTTAGTTTGTTACTTCAAGAACAAGCTACATATCCAAAATCATTCATAATGCACAAGCAAGGTCTCCTTTTAATCCAAAATAATTCACAATGGTTCAAACAATGGCAAATTGGTACATATTTTGATTGCAAATGACATTCTAAACACAATGGCGTTGTTAGAATTTCAATTTGAGTCATATTTAATGGTCATTTTATGGATTGCTTCAAAAGGAGGTTACATACTCAAAATCATACCATTAAGCTCCAAACCAATTTTCACAAGCCAAAGTCCAAACCTTACCTTGGGATCCAAGCCTAAGGAGTACTTAAGTGATCTACTCCAAACCAAAAAGGAAAAATCCTCACAATTTTCATTTTTCATTTTCAAGAATTCTCTCACTCTCTCAATTCTCTCAACTTCTTCATTCTCCAAACCCTCACCCATAGCTCCTCATCATTGGATCCATTGATTTTTCATTGAAATCAATGGAATCTTGAGCATAAACCTCCACTCATCATCATTATCGGATCAAGTTTCGTAATTAATTTTCGTGCAAATTGAAGTTGGATATTGGAGCGTAAGTTGGAAGCACTTATTCGGAGCAATTCGGATTCGAAGTGTTCGATCTTCATCTTCTTGCAAGAATTATTGTAGATCTTGAAGTTTTCCATCTAATCTTGTTCAGATCTTTGCAAATTCACTTGATCAACGATCACCGGATCAAATCTCCGATCCGTAGGTTGGTTTTCCGATTTAATTTAACCATTTGATTGTTGCATTAAAATTCTGTTTTGTGTGTTATTTGATTTTAATTCCAAAAAAATAGAAAAAATACTTAGAAAAATATGATAAAATTCTGGGATGATCCTTATCATGTCTATGATCTTTGTGCGTAATTGGATTTTAGTTTCATTTAAATTTCAATTTGATTTCGTTTTTCTCCCTTAGTTGGATAATAAAATGCCAAAAACTGCATAGTTTCTTGCTGATTTTTGTTCTAGAGTTTGGTATAGAATTTGGACTTAATTCTTTTCTAGTTATTTATAGACATATTAAGCAACTCTCATAAATTTTTAGGTTAATTTTTAGGTAGCTTTAGGTTCGGTTTTGAACTCGATCTTTAGGGGCTTCCCCATTTGATTTCCCTTTTGACCACTTTTGGTGTGTGATTTCTTTAGTGCCTTTAAGCATAGTTTTAGGCCCTGGTTTTTCTACTATAGACCTATAACAAATGCATGTTCATATAGAAAAATAATTAGATTTTTGTAATGTGTTTTGCTATTTTATTTAGAATATTCAAGTTGATTGTTCATTTGGTGCTTCAACTTTGCTGATTGTTTGGAATGGACTCAAAGTGGGCTTTTCTTGCATGGTGGGCTTCTGGTTCTTATTAGAGGATATCATGGACATGATGAAGCTTTTGTGGAGTGGCTGGTGGATCTTGGATTGGACATTTTCTTTCCTTTTTGTTATCTTTTTGTAGCTTAGGAAATTAGGGTTTTAGGAAGAGCTATTAGAGCTAGTTTTGATTTCTTCATCAAACATAGAGTGCATTGTTTGCCTCTATCCTATCCAATGACATAAAGTACTCCTTGGGAAGCTCCATCTCTCCTTAGGAGGGATGAGTGGTATGCCCAAGTGAGTAGAACTTTGAGGATACCTTTCATTTGCAATGTTGAGTTCTTAGTGATTTCCTTTGGTTGTCATTAAGTTTCTTAACATTATAACTTGATCTTGATGATTAATCCTTCTCTTGGAGTGTGCTTGTTGGAGCTTGAAGATTGATGAAGCTTGAGGATAGGAGCATTCATGAAGATGAAAGTTGTTGCAGTCGAATTTTTGTTGTTTAATCATCTGTTGCTGTCAGAGATGCTGATTGTTGTAGGAGTTTGGTGCTGTTGTTTGGACTGCCTCCTCTGCTTTGGGTTTTGTTTTCTGTATTGTTTGTTGGCTTGTGTAGCTTGCCCCTTAGGTTTGAAGTGAATGTTGATTAACTTTTCCTGTTGTTTTCCCAAGTTCGAGGTTGAGTGGGACTCCCTTGCCTCGCTTGTATTGCTGCATTGCATGCATTTTACTGTATTTGCTTGCTTTCTTTTCTGTTTATCCCCTAGGATCTCTGATTTCCTCTGTGCAGGAGGGAATTATGACAGACATTAGGATTCTTATCCATGCATGATAACATTAGGTTAGTTTTATTCCCCTTTCAACCCTAGGTTTTTTAGAGCTTCTTTCTCTTCTTATCTCAAAACAATTCCAAAATACAGTAATAAGGTTAATCGATGTCATACGTTACGAGCCTTAAGCTATTTGAGAAAAGGTTGCTGGAGGGTCACTCTTGAGTAATCTGACTGCTTAGTGTGGTACCCTTAGGGTGACATGCGACGTAGTCACTCTCAAATCATAGTCTCTAGTGCGTTAGAGATTGCAAACAAACTAAAAACACTTCTTTCGTAAAAGATTCAAAACAAACATCAAAGTGTCATTTTTGTCCGCTTGGACTCTTAATCAAGAAAAACCCTTTTTGAAGGTAATAAAACACAGCCAGACAAGCTTGTGTCTTCCGTAGCCCGAACTACGTTTGCTCTGATCTTTCATGCTGTATGAAAGTACGTAGGCATAGGATGTCGTATCCTAGCGAGCAACCTTCCCCGCCTTCATCCGCAGTTAGGCGAACTACGTTGACTCTGATTTCTCGTTCCATACGGGAATACGTAGGCATAAAGTGCGATACTTTGCCGAGTTATTTTCTTTCCTTTTTAACCCAGACCTATAGAGTAGATAGAATAACACACCCTTAGATAGAAAACAAGCGTGGATCCCGTCGAGTACGACGGACGTGAGGGGTGTTAATACCTCCCCCTTGCGTAACCGACTCCCGAATCCCGGATTTGGTTGCGATGACCATTCCTTTCGCTCTTTGCGTTAGGTTTACTCTGAGCGTTTCCTTTTCCTCCTGTGGGATAAATAATGCACCGTGGCAACTCTTCTGTCATAGCCGGCGCCGATTTTCGCAGTAGCGACAATAAGGTATATCCAAAAAGGTAACAGTGTACCAATATAATCGAAACCACATGAGAAAAGAAATATATTTAATTCAATACAATGTTGCTTACATTTAATGCTTTTTCAATTCCAGGAATGAGTGAGCCAATGTGGTCTGCAAGACAGTTGGGCAAGACAACCACGAGTTCTTTCAAAACAGAAAAGGCACCAACCTGCATAGGCAACTATGCTTAAAATATGGAGACTTAAATAAATATCAACTTTTACTGACCACTACCTTTGTTTTGATAGATTTCTCCCGCAACTGCCTATTGATAGATTTGACAATCTTTGACAGTTCTTGCTTCAACAACCATTTAGGACTGCATTGCATGTCAGTGTTAAGACAGTCAATTCGTGCCACACATTGAGTTATGAGGTAATAATTGTAAAAATTAGGCTAAACAAAAGGAAACATTGAGAAAGCTTGTTAACCTATATTTATTTTAAGATCTGAATGCATATTCATATATAAACAAAGTCGTAGCTAAACTATTTAGATCATATGCAAAAATGAGTATTTCAGTATATATTCATCTTAAGGAACAATTTTCAGATGTAAAATGTGTAGTGTTACATTTGTAAAAGCAGTAATGAAGCCATAGATACCAGTCATAACAGAAGTGCTCTAAGATAACAAATGAAGTAGGATTCAAATTTCAAATCTCAAGGGAGCTACTGGTTCTTCTAGAAAACATCCTGTTGGAATTATTATGGCAAAACTGAATGTTTATTTCACTAGGAAGAGCACTCTTTTCAATAGGACAAAGACATCAACTCCTTAAACTAAGGAGTGATATACTCAACAATAAATAATAGTAGGTCTTTACGACATTGTTTTTCAGCAGCATTTACAATGTAACAGTGTACCAATATAATCGAAACAAGACTAGACAGCCTAACCAATGAAACCAAAACAACACCTAATGGAAATAGCATAATACCAGCAATAACAACCAAATAAAAGCAGCAGTAGCAAATTATAGACTGTTATAATTCCTGCAAATCCGATCTGATTTACTCAATGAATCAAGTGAAAACCAGAACAGCAACAACATGTTACAATATCCACACAATTACCAACCTATTTATAATAATCTAGATACAAAAAAAATCATCATACAACTAGTATTAAAAATACATAAAAACATTTCATCAAACATTTATAGTGCAATAAAGAATTTCTGTAAAAACTACACACCTAGACATTTCATCAAACATTTAGAGTGCAATAAAGGAATTCCAAAAAACATATCAAAAACACATTGAGACATTTCATCAAACATTTAGAGTGCATCAAAGTAAAAGCTTCAATTCAATTAATAAGAAATACAACAAATTCAGCAACATGTATGCATAGAATATCAAGATGTTCAAACAAAAGCAAAAAGTATTGTCAGTTTATTACCTTTGATTGAGAATCTAATCAAGTGGCGATAGAACGACAAAATTCGGTTCCCGTTTTGTGGTAACTAGACGAGTTTACTACGTGGGGATTCTTTAAAGAGTAGCTAGCTATGTTTCCACCTTCCTACAGCTCATAGAAATCCCAAATATAATTCTGAGGGGAAAAAATGGAACAGACAAGTCATAAGCTACTTCAAGCAAAGTTATTGCCATTTTCTTGGGGTAGTTTAGTAAAATGGAAAAGACAATTTGTTTAAAAAAAAAATTTTCTTTTACTCCAAAATTTTTGGATAATAAATCAATATTTTTATTTTATTTTATCATCTTTTACATTATAAAATTGAATTGAAAATTAATAAATTGATCTCTAGTATGATAATCTAGTTATTTCATTAAAATATTTTAATACACAAAATGAATAAAAGCCTTTTTATATAAAATAACAAAATTGAAAGGATTATATATAAATTGATCTCTAGTATAATAAAAGGATTATTTTATTAAAAGGATCAATTGATCTCTAGTTTAATAAAAGCCTTTTTATCATCTTTTAAATTATAAAATTGAATTAAAAATTAATAAATTGATCTCTAGTATAATAATTTAGTTATTTTGTCAAAATATTTTAATACACAAAATGAATAAAAGCCTTTTTGTATAAAATAACAAAATTTGATGAAATAACAAATCTGAAAATATTTTTATATTATATATATTTTATTAAAAGGATTATATATAATATAAAAATATATGTTATCAATTAAGTAAATGGGTTATTTTATTGTCTTTTTAAATTTTAAATTAAAAAAAAATTATAAGTTGAAGGATTACACATCAATTGTATCATAAACTTATATTTTAATTTTTCTAATTTTTACTACAATAAAAAAATATTAAATAAATAAATTTTCTTTAAAAAATAACTAAAAAAACTCAATTAATATTATAAAACCTTTTTAAGAAAAACAAAAATTTAATATAAAATTAAAAAATTTCTGAACAACATATTTTGGAATCAATATTTATTTTATAATTTTATTTATTAATCGTAAAAATATAATAAAAATTAAAATAAATTAAATAATTCGCAGCAAAAGTCGCAGAGAAATTTACAGCAAATTCCGCAGCAAATTTCGCAGCAATTCCTACATTATTACTGCGGACGAAATTGCAGAAAATTCCGCAGGATATTTATTTTTTAATTTTAATTCTAAAATCGAAGCTAAAGTCTCAGAAATTCCTGCGAAGTTTGCTGCTACCACGTTTTTCGCAGGAAATGATGTTTCACAATATAGAAGCGCAGGGAAAATCGTAGGTATTTCTGCGAAACTTTTTCCGCAGGAAATTCCGCAGGTAAACTGTGTATTTCTAGTAGTTAAAATAAGATAAAATAAATATGGTAAACTTACTGCAAGATGGTTGGGTGAAACTATTAACAGAGAAACAACTCATTACTAAAAAAACAAGTTATCAACAAGATTACTAATAAAAGACAGCAGATGGCTATTAGAAAAGAAATATTAACAATTTAAAAGTCATTTTTAACTTTGCATACATGATAATGAGATCTCCAATTGTGGCTCCAATGAATATTAACATCTAGCTAACAATCATAAAAATAAAAAATAAAAAAATCATATAAGAAACTAGTTTGTTTTATTATGAATGCATACTGTCTTTACAGAAGGATTGTGACCATGTAAAATTTTGCTATCACTACAGGATAAATTTAGCATAAACATTTTGTGAATTTGAAATGAAAATTTAGCATCAACATATTCTGAACTTGGTGTGAACAACAGTTTGCAAAACACACATGATTTATCTTCACCAAAACAAATTCAAACTGACTCCATAATGTGGGAAAAAATCAGCACAGCAACACAAACACTGTAATATATTATCTACACCAAAACAAATCTCAAGCACACTGCAGAATCGAGATGAAAACAGAAAGTACCACTATACTTATAAGAATTACAAACTATTGCAGCATTTCAAAGCAAATGGATAGAAAATCTTAATACCATTTCGAGCAGAAATTAAATCAACAATCCAAAACATGTGATATACAGTCAAAAATTGCTTCCAAATGTTATCATAAGTAATAATATGATGGATTGGTTTGTATAAATAATCTTAGAGAGTGAGGTTTGTGTACATATAATGTATGGAAGAGAAAGAGAAGTAAGGAAAATGGAGTATCTTCGGAGTGTGAAGGGAAGCAGGATATCTCTTGGTGTTCTTTACTTTCTGCCTTTACAGCTTTCATAACATCACCTTATTTTCAGAAAGTAATAAATCAGTCTCTAAAACCATAAAATTTCAAAAGAACCTAATTCAACACCCCCCTCCCCCCTCCTTAGGTGCAACTAAGACTTTTAATTGGCATCAGAGCAGGTTTAGGTAATCTATTCCTAATCGATCCATTATGGCTTCCGCAAACAACAAAGGTGTATTCAAAGACGGTGGTAGTAGCAACAAGCCTCCACTGTTTTGTGGTGAATACTTTAATTTCAAGAAAATTTGTATGAAGGCTTACTTAGAAGCACAAGGAGATGAAATATGGGATGTTGTCCAAAATGGCCCCTTCGTTCCTACAACGGTCGTTAACGGTGTTGGATCAACAAAGCCCAAAGCCTCATGGGATGACGATGATAAGAAAAAGGTTCTCTATGACAAAAAGGCAATCAATCTTCTACAAAGTGCACTAAGCATGGACGAATTCTTTCGCATCTTAACATGTAAACCAGCAAAGAAAATCTGGGACACTTTAGTGGAAACTCATGAGGGAACCATTGAAGTTAAAAGATCAAGGTTGAACATGTTGAGTCAAGAATACGAGCTATTCAGAATGCAGCCAGGGAAATCAATTCTTGATTTGCAGAAAAGATTCGTGCACTTGACAAATAATCTTATAGCACTCGGTAAGACATTAAATAACGATGAATTAAATCTTAAAGTGCTTAGATCTTTGTCCAGAGAATGATAGCCCAAGGTGACAGCAATTTCTGAAAAGAAAAGTCTATCCACGATGACATCCGCCACATTGTTCGAAAAACTTCAAGAATATGAAACATAACTTAAGGGATTGGAGAAACATGAGAATCAAGAGAAGAAATCTAAAGGCATCGCATTAAAGGCTGATTCCAAAAAAGTAGAAAAAGCAGACGATCCGGTTGAAGATGAAAACTTCATGCTTCTTGTAAAAAGGTTAGGAAAATATTTTGGTTCTAAAAATAATATTGGAAATTCTGACTATATGAAAAGGAAGAAGTTTTTAAAGAACAAAGAGAAGGAGGCGTCAACATCCACACAAGACGTCAAATGCTATGAATGTGGAAAACAAGGACACATCAAACCAAACTGTCCTAAACTCTCCAAGAACGATACCTCTAAAAGCAAAAAGGGTTTCAAGAAAAATAAAGCATATGTAGCATGGGAGGATAACGAGATAAGTTCTTCATCAGAATCAGATAGTGATCAAAGTGCAAATCTAGCACTAATGGCCTCACATCACTATGATGATGATGACGACAAGGTTAGTAATAATTTTTTAATTTATGATGATGCTGCTCAAGGGGCAATTGATCAACTTCTGAGTGAATGCAAAATTCTGTACAAAACTATTTCATCACAAAAGAATCAAATTTCAAATCTAGAAGAACAGATTGAAATAATGGAAAATAACTTCAAAGTTGAAAAACAGAAATTGATTAGTGATCAAAAACAGAATTTTGTATGTACAAAGTGTGAGTCACTTTCCTTTCAAATTGTCCAATTAAAAAGAGTTCTTGAAAGGTATGAAAAAGGACAAATTGGATTAGAGGATGTTCTTAGCCAACAAAGATTCTCAAATGATAAAAGTGGACTTGGTTACTCAAAATTTTCTGAACCAAGTTCCAACAAAACCATCTTTGTTAAAGC